ACCGTTCTGAGGAAGGGTCACCGGACCCGAAACGTTAGCTCTGTTTTTTCCTTCACAGATGCTGCCAGACCTGCTGAGCTTTTCCAGCAACTTTGTTTTTGTTTCATTCAGTCTAGTCTACTGTAATTCGCTTCTTCATAACGCAGTCTCCTTTACATTGGGGAAACAAAGTGCGGACTTGGTGACCGCTTTGCAGAATACTTATGTTCTGTTCACGAAAATGACTGAGCTTCCAGTTGCCTGCCACTTCAATACAACACTGGTGTTCCGTGGTCAACATCTCTGCCTCAGGCTTGTTGCAGTACTCCAGCAAAGCTCAGCACAAGCTGCAAAAAAAGCACATTTTCCACTTTTGAACTCTGGACTCAATTTGGAGTTCAACAATGTTAGTGCTTGAACACCTTTTTCCCATGTCGTTACTCCAACCTGCACACCCCAGGCCTCGTCATTACATGGGCTGCTACCACATACAATCTTGTTGTCAACTCATAGTCCCCCCATTAGCAGCTATTCATTCTCCCTGGCAGACTCTCACTTACCCCTTTGTCTGTCCAACTGTTTCTCTCTCTCTTTGGGCTCTATCTCCACCTATTGTTTACTCCCACCCCCCACCGCCCACCACCCACATCTTCTGCATAAACATCAACCTTCTCCTAGTTACTATCAGTTCGAAAAAGTCAGCGGACCCGAAACATTAATTCGGCTTTCAGCACTGATGCTGCCAGACCTGCTGAGTTTTTCCAACAATTTCGGTTTTGTTTGACTTCCAGTATCCATAATTATTTTGGTTCTTGGTTTGGTGTTCCATTGTGTCACTCATCTATGTTAATAATTGGATAGGCATACAGGAGGATACAAGTTTAAACGTTGTAATAAACAAGGAGCACAGAAACAAATTTCAGGGGTACACTGAAACACTGATGAAATGGGAGAAGCAGCTGATAACCTGTTACATAGAAGTCTGAAGTGATAAATTTCAGTAGAAAGAATGCAATAACATTACAAATTCAATCTCCTCAACAGGGTTAAGGAAGAGAGACTTCAGGGTTTACGTACACAAGTCTTAGAAGATGGCAAGAGAAGTTTCATTTTAAAGAACACAAGATCCTTGGATTTGTTAAAAGCAGATAGGTCACGGATCTTGAGGGGCATTTAG